CTGGGCTCAAATTGTGCGTACGCCAGTTTTATAAATCCGACCCCTGAGCCTTTTGGTTTGACCATCTGTGAGAGTTCCAAGGCCATAACCATGTAAGAAAAATACGTGTTCATTTGAGCAAAAATCAAAAAGGCTAGTCAAACATTTACCAAAAATCATCTTGTCAAACATGAAAAGTGCATTGTGTATTAAGTCATGGTATCTTTGATAACTTTTGTTCATTGATCTGAAACATTTAAGCGTGACCAAAAAAAGCAGAAACAGAAGAAATCTGTATGGGAGAGAATACACAGGCCTCACACTTTGTCCATTCTGTGCAGGTAGAGCTCAAGCTGCAGAGATCCGTTTCACTCAGTTAAAAGAAAGACACGCGGAGCTAGTCACAAGTCATGCTGATCTAATGAAGAAGGTAAAATAAAAACTTTTGCTTTTTCTCCTAAATATTTCTTCGATTTACCACAACAGATTTTTTTATTTGTGCTGTGGTGCAGAATGCAGAAACGGTGAAGATGCTGTCAAGTACAAAACAAGCTGAGGATCACTTACTGAGAGCCAAAGAACAGTTAGAAAGTGAAATAGAAAGTCTGCGACAGGAGCAAAGAAACATGGTGAGAACACTTTGTTTTCTAATCCATCACCACTGTATCTGAGAACTCCATATGTGAATCCCATACATGATGGGAATGTTTTAAAACCATTTTGTATTTAGAGACAAAAACTGACGTGTGCTTTTTGATCATGTGATCAGGTGAATCAGCAGCAGCAGGAGGCAGAGCACCTGAACAAAAAACTGTTGGAACAAAAAGCAGAGATGGTCCAACTGCGTGGTARTTTGGAGGAGAAGGAAAAGGTAATGTTTAGTGTAAAAACTACACGCTTGTTCCTGTTTGACTTTCATATCCTCGAGGAACTATTTAATAACACATTAAACCAACTTAATTAGAGACAACTTGAGACAAAATCTTCAGTAAACTAGTTGTATTGTCCTGTTTTTAAACTCACAGCGATGACTCAGATAATTAATTTAATGTGACAATGTATCCCAAACAAGCTTAGTGGAGGTTTTTACATTTATTTTGTTCATTATTAATTTAATTTTATTGAAAACACAACATATTGTGCCAAACAATGATGACACACAACAGGTTTAAAACTAAGAACATTAATAACTTTACCCAGTGAACAGCTGTAATTATGATAGCCACCAAGAGTGAATTAAGGCAGGCATTTGACTTTTTTCTGATTTGATGACAGGCCCACTCGTAAACTGACATGACATCATGCAGCTTTCTTCACAGCATAAAATAACACTGTGCCAAACATGACACAGAAAATAACTTCTGTCAGTTTCATCAATCTGCATGTTAGGAATTAGGAACAAGATACATGGATGTTTAGAACTGTTTTAAAGTTAATGATGAATAGACTGACAGATTTATTTACTGAGCTTTATTTAACCAGGAAAATCTGAACTATGAAAACTAGTTTCTACCACTTTCTAGAAATGAAAGTAATAAGCCTATCACTTTTATACTGGTCAAAATAAAATAAAGTTGTTTATCATGCTGTAGATTATGTCTTTAGATCAGTAATTTATTTCATGTTCACACAACAGACTAGAATGTACTCAAAAAACATTTTAGATTTTATTCGTACCTGCCCATAACCTTCATCTCTTACCTGAGACACTCTGTCCTACCTGCAGCCTCTGACTCTGAGCTCCTATCAACAGACATGAAGATGGATTGAGTATTAGGGTTTTTTCTACTGCCACCTGAAGTCAGTCAGCTTTAAAAAGGAAAGAAAATATTGTGAAATAACATCGATAAATACCAGATCACTATTTTTCTTCTCATCATTTCACTGTTAAAAAGGAAAAGTTTTCTGACCACGAAGCTCTGTTTTTATGCAGAAAATACAGAATTTATTCTTGCTAAGATAATAAAAACTGCACATGTACTACTATAATACTTTTCAGTTTTACTTTAAACAAGGGTACTGAAGCAGGTAGACTGAATCCCAGAAATATTTGGTGACTTATGAATGTAAGATTAATCAATAAATATTAGAGAGGACCTGGACTCAGTCTTAGGATTAAAATACAGTTTAACTGATTAAAAAAACTCAATAATAGTTTAAATGCTATCACTAAAATGCAAGTGCTTGCTAACACTAGCTAGGTGAATAGCAGCAAGCTAACTTTTTATAAGAAAAACAACAGTGGGGACATTTGGACTTATTTCTGGCTCTTTGTAAAGAAAAAGTTTTGACCAAAAGTTGGATGTTCTGTTAATGAGACTGACGTTACCTGCTCCAGTGTGAGTGTGTCTCTGCACTGTGTGTGTGTTAGGGAGCCTAAAGGATGGGCGGGGGCGGGGGGTGTCGGACTCTGGGACACGCAGCAGCTCTGAAGCAGGACTGAGACGAGGCACATTGATGGCACCAAATTGTTTTATTTAAAAGTTGTAGAGTGACCGGAGCTTTTAGCCAGGTGAGCAGACCAGTCAACAGGCAGGCAGACCATGGGGAAACCTACCGGTTCTCCCGATAGTCTCTCCAGGCCTGCCCTAAGTTCATTCAGCCTGGGTTTACTGACGTTACACTTGTGGGTTGTTGTCGGGCAGACTAAACCATTTTTGCACCTCCAAGAGGGGCCCCCAGAATGTCTAATATGTTGGGTGGACAGTGCAAGAGTACTTACACCACTTATAATGAAAGTTATAAGGAAATTATTTATCAAGCGTTCTTGGCTTATTAAAGAAATACCTCTTTCGTGCAAAAATGAACAACAACACAACAAGTGAAATACTCGGTGAATTTGAATTGATCCAGCAACAAACAAGAGCATTTATTTACATAAATAAAATACGAGTGAACAAGTTAATGGTGGGCAATCAATTTTCCTATAAAAGTTTAACAATAAGCATGTGTCTGCGCTAATTATTAATACGACAACTTCAGAAACAGCAAAACATCAGGCTTAGGTGTTAAATAAAATCAAAATATTTGCAGGTATTTAAATGTAGGTTTTGGCAAGGCAGATTAGTTAAGGAATAGAATGAAAGGAGATTTGATTAGTTATTTCTAACTTTATCTTAAAGAATGTGGGTTTAACCAGAAGAGCGAGGCGTCATCCACTCAGTTTCAGCCAAAGCTGGGAATGCTAGTAACAAGCCAGCTTTTACCTTGAGATGACGGGTAGGATGAAGGTCGACGAGTGAGCAAGGAACCTTTACAGCTTCTTACTCGCTACAGACCCTCTCAGGCAGTTAAAGGTTGAGATATACTCGTGCTTTGGTCCACGGGCTCGAGCCATATGGTTGGCCTCTGGGGCCATAAATCGGGCGTATATTTACGTGCAAATCCTAACGCGCGGTGACGTAAATAACGTGCGAACGCGTGGTGGCGCCACGCGCTGTGGCGTTTTCTACCCTAACCCTAACCCTAACGCGTGGTGGCGCCACGCGCTGTGGCGTTTTCTACCCTAACCCTAACCCTAACCCACCGCGCATTCATGCTTTATTTACGGTGTTCGCGCGTTATTTACGGGACCGCGCGTGGCGCCACCGAGCATTCGCACGTTATTTACGTCACCGCGCGTTAGGATTTGCACGTAAATATACGCACCGCGCGTTAGGATTTGCACGTAAATATACGCCCGATTTATGGCCCCAGAGGCCAACCATAGAGCCAGTGGACCAAAGCGCGCACTGAGCCGTGCGGCTTCTGTGTTTATAGTTGACGCGCGGTGGCACGCGGCAAAGTGCTTTTCTTTTACGGACCAGCACGTGGCAGTGTGCTCTAAAACCTGTGCTTAGGTTGTAAGAAACGGGTGTAGAAGAAGAAAAATGGGCGTAGAAGAAGAAATGTATGACGTCACACAACTTTATTTTGTTTCTATTTTATTCATTCATGTTCTTATTTTAATTTTGAAGTAGTTTGTTTTTTGCTAACTAAGTGTGGATCTATCTGCCACATTTGCCCTCGCTGCCTCCTGTTTTGGCCTTGTACCTTTAATTTTCTAAGTCTATTTTGGAGTGTAAAATGATGTTAAATAAAATGTAACTTGGCTACAATGAAATATCCACTGCAACTTTCCTTCTCAGTTTTGTTTGCATATGGTCATATTCTCAAAGRCATCAACACTTTCACTCTATAAAATTAGTTGTGAAACAGACTTTTTTATAAGTGTAAGAAGAACAGTCGATGTTATTATAAATTGGAAACCTTAAATGGTATTCCATCAAAAGAAAGCTTTGCTGCCTCACAGGGAAAATCCCAAAATTTTAATTTTGTTATTAAAAATCAAGTTTTTATTAGTACTGATCAAAAGAGTAATTCTAAGAAATTCTTTTGGTTTATTGTTCAGATAAGTAAATTTACTTAATACATTACTAGAACATGCAATTCATTCTTCCAAGCCTTTCTACACACAGATTCATCTTTCTGCATCGCTTCAGCGATCTCCTTCCAAACATTCTGTGCCATTTGAACATCTATGATCTCTCATAGAGGGATCTTATAAATGATGGTACATTCGGATACTTCAGCAAGAGCAGCTTCGCATCCATAGTCAACGGTACGCGCACTAGCCTTCGCGGAGTTTCAGAAATTCAGAGGTGCACGACACATGCCAAAAGGGCGCACGGGGCCAATGCACAAGGACAGGGACGACACTATTGCGTCACTTTTGGCGTGCGCACCCTCACACCCTGCGTGACGCGTCGAGTATAAATCTAGCTTAAGGCCTCTGCATACTTCATCCGAAGCCGTCGAACAGTCGATGCACAGTCACGTCGTTTTTCGGCATTCATTTTCGCACACACGACTTCCGGTTTTCGCCACTGATGCATGCAGAGAGCAGAGACACTCATTAAAATTACATTCAGCCCAGTGCTGCATGGTTGAATAACTCTTTTCATATTCAAACATTCAACTGATTACGAACACATATTAAGGTAAATGAACACGCCTAAATTATCTATTATCTTTCAGGTCTGTACACTGAAAGAACAGACTGGTAAAAAAATCTAATCTGCTTTAACCTAAGTCATCTTGTAGCCGGACTTCCTGTAGTGATTAAGAGCTACTGACACTGATGACAGCAGAACAGTTAAACCAAGTTGCACCAGCGGTACAACAACCCTTAGGATACTACTGGCCCTAAGAGTTTGTACTTGAGGATAAGACCTTGTGTCTTACTGAGATTACCTATTCAAATAAATGTGAAATGAAAAATAAAGAAGTTGCGTGTTTGTATATTTCTACTGAATTTTCTTCAGGTGGGAGCTCAGGTGACCAGCAGTCTTGCAGCTCTGCAGGCAGAGCGGGATGTGTTGCTTCTCTCTGCAAAAGAAAAAGATGCAGAGCTTACCTCCCTCAGACAACAGGCCCAGCAACAGCAGAGCTCTTTGGAACTGGAGAAAAATCAGACCAGCAGAGAAATGGAGGCCCTAAGAGCCCAACTGCAGCAGCAGGTACACACCTATTACAGATAGATATTTTGGAAACCAAATAAGTATTAGATGTAAAAAGTGTGTTTTGTGATTTTCCACAGATTACCATAAATGCAGAACAAAGGTTGGAAATTGACCAGCTGAAACGAGAGCTGAACTCTACACGAGCAGAACTGACCCGAGTGAACAGTTTGCTGCAAAGCAAAGATCTGGTAGGAACAAATTCTACAAACTGCTCTGACATTAGACTCCTTTCAGAAGAAACATTGACTGTGACTCATTATCATCTATCYCCATTAAAGGGAGGCAATCATGCAAATGCTGGTGTGTGTCCATTTGCTTATATATCCGTTAGCAAAATATTTTAGAAATTACTTGRCTGATTTGAATGAATCTCTCAGAAATTGTTCATTAGATGTACCAATGATTTACTTTCAAAGAAAATCTAATTAAAGAGGGCCACCACAGTTAACTGTCTATGACATACAATGAAAGGCATAGCTGTCATCGAAGGAATGTGTATGGCCTGCTGTTTGGCAATTTAAAACTAAAATGATCTTGTGTTAAAAATGTGGTGGTCACCTGAGGGTGGAAAAACAGTTCCACCTGTCTTTGACCTTGGTCACAGAAGGCCTCCTTTAAAGAGACAGAACTCTTTTCAAGTTAGTTAATGTGCACTGTCCCCTTATATATATATACAGATAGATAGATAGATAGATAGATAGATAGATAGATAGATAGATAGATAGATAGATAGATAGATAGATAGATAGAT